GGGCCCCCCGCCGGGCCCGGGGCCGCCCCGCCCCGCCGCTGCGGCCCCCGGAGCCGCAGGGCGAGGGCGGGAGGGTCGCTCCGGGGCGGGGACACGTTTATATATACATGTGTATATATGTGTGTATATGTATACATATTAATATAAAACATACATAATTTCATTTTTGGAGGGGCTAGAGGAAAGCCTGGGGTAGCAGGACCTTCGCTTGTCACCACAAGGCTTATGCGACTTCTCTTGTAGCAGTGCTGGTGGCGGGGCGTCCAGGCTCCTTCCTGCCTCCCCGGGAGGGTTTTTTCAACCGCCTTGTTTCTGCTGGAAAAAAAAAATCATAATAAATAACGGAGACTTGGCGTATTTGAGGCCCCCTCAAAGATTCAGAGGAATCTCAGAACAGCAGATGAGCAGGCTGTGTTCGGGATTTGCTCGGCAGTGCCTCTCGGTGAGTCGCTGCCGCCCGCGCCTGGCGCGGCGAGATGGGAGCGAGGAGGCCGCAGCGGGAGCGGGAGCGGGAGCAGGAGCTCTGTGCCGCTTGGGAAGGGCCTGCCGGGCTGTCCGGCCGGAACCCCCTGGCCAAGCCCCGTGTGCGGGGTAGCTGCTGTTTCCACCGGCTGCTTTTCTGAATGTGCGAGATCTTTGCATTTTAGTGCTGTAAAAATGCCAAGGCCAGCATGCATGGAAATGCAAAGTCTGGTCTCTTAGCATTCAAATGAATAACATCTCAGTTACAAAGCCAGGAATGATACCAGCCCGAAAATATCAGTGGTGTTGAATGTATCCATTAGGTATCCAGCAAGCATTGAGACAGAGGCATTAGAGACCTTTCGTATTCCAGCCGGCCCCTGTGCACACACACACACACACACACACACACACACACAGGGGCCTGACTGTCTGCCAAAGTGCAGGATTTGTTTTCCTCATTAACCATCAGTTGCTATTTCAGAACTGTGAAGAATTCACTGAAGAAATTCTCTTAACCTGGAACCTAGCCAAGGGAAAAATCTTAAATGTTCAAGGTGTTACAGTAGTAGCTAAAGAAATACTAACCTACACTGCTCTGTGCAGCAGTTTAGCCTCTAAATTAACAACAAGAAGTATTTTCTACGGTGCAATCTAATTGCAGGATGGTGTTGCTGAAAAACCTAGGTACAAGCTGAGGGAAAAGCTGACAAAAATAGTTGGAGCTAGGGTTTTTTTGCCCACTATATGGGCAAATTAATGGTTTTTAATGTCCAGGTT